CCCGCCCCAGAGCTGCCAGCACCCGGCTGTGGGTGTCTGAGTGACTCCAATTTCAAGTCAATTAATTAGGAAGCAGTTTAGGACTTGTATTTTTATATTGGGAGCAGCCACCATCTGTCATAAACTGCAGCCAAAAAAAAAAAAAACAACCAAACAACCTCAGGTGTGAAGACATGTTACGCTGCAGGCTCCAGAAATACAGAAGTGAGACGGAGAATTGGAAAGACTTCACAGGCCATCAAAGTCCGTCCTGTGGGTGCTAAGCAAAGAGTAAATGTGGCCCATGTTTGCAAATGGTGTGGGAAAAAAAAAAAAAAGCCCCTGAAAGAGGCTGAGTTTTGGTTTGCAGCTGCAAAATTACCGCCTCATCAAAAACAAGCAAATGTTAAAAAAAAAAAATCCAGTAGATATTTGTCAGCAACTTGACTGCTTTCCCGGTGTAGCTGACTGCACAGCGGCAGCGATTTGAGCTGTTTGTTACTGAGGACTGAGCAAATGAGGGGAAAACGTGACTGCCCAGCCAGCGCAGGGGATGCTCTGGCCCCAGGGCCCCCCGCCGCCGCCGCTCGCCTGCCTCCGCAGCCGTTGGCTCGTGCAGCCCTTTTGCGTTGCCAGTTTACAACAGTATTTTTAGTGGCAAAAGTTGTGGGAAACTTCTGATGCCTTCTGACCTCATGACAAGCAATAGTTAAATAACTGCCCTAGCTTTTCTGGTAGCAAAAAATAAAATAAAAAAAGATTGTTTTTGTCATCGTTAGCACAGCTCATTTCTGCTGCTAAATTGCAAATAAACACATTTATTGATAAGCAGCAAACCTCATCCTAAGCAGTCATTGTCTGTGACAAAAAAAAAAAAAAGCATTACTTGAATCCTGTGCCATTCAGGGTGGGTTAAAAACGTGCATTTACAGCAAACACTGGATTTACTGGCTCTGAACTCGCCATCCTCACCCGGCTGCAGCTGGAGCGGCGCAGGCGCGCGGGTAGTTTTCCCGCAGCGTTTCCCATCCCGCTCGGCGGAGGCGGCCCTGGGACCAGGCAGACGGGGACAAAGCCTTGCTTGAAGTAGACCAGGGACATCGAACTCGTAGCACAGTACAAGCCTAAATTACATGACCATGTCTACAGGGCAAAAGATTTAATGCAGGGTACAGTAGAACTGTAGCAATATTTTCCTTAGAGGGAACACTGACATTTTAGCAGCACAAACGGTACTTGTGTTAATATTTTAGCAAAATTATAATCAATTTAAATGTTTAAATTGATTGTACGTGAGATAATGTTTGTTCGGTACATTGTATTTTTTTTTTTTCTAACGCTATAACTGTTCCAGAGTTTCCTTGTAATCGTAACGAACAAAAGTTCTGTCTGACTGCGACAAGCGTCCTGCTCCCCGGTGTAACCGTGTGGGCTGTTACAACATCCGACTGTAAGCACCGGCGGCCCCCAGCGCGTTGCTTTGCTTCCCACCCGGGGCTCGCGGCAGCAGCCTGCC